GAAAAAGACGGTACAAAAAAAGATATTAAAGGCCAAATTTCCTCAATATACACGCAGAAGTTCTTAACTAATATTAGCAAATAAAATTCAATAATATATAAAAAGAATTATACAACATGATAGACTTTATTCCAGAGGTACAAGGCTGGTTCAATTTGCTAAAACTACTTAATATAATTCACCATATTACTAAGCTAAAGAAGAAAACTCGTATGACCATATCAATTGATGAAGCAAAAGCATTTGGAAAATTTTAATACCCATTTATGATAATCATAAAACTCTTAGCAAGCTAGGAATAGAGGGGAACTTTTTTTTTTTTTTTGAGACAGAGTCTCGCTCTGTCGCCCAGGTTGGAGTGCAGTGGTGCAATCTCGGCTCACTGCAACCTCTGCCTCCCAGGTTCAAGCAATTCTCCTACCTCAGCCTCCCGAGTAGCTGGGATTATAGGCATGCACCATTAAAAAAAATAATACAACATTTTTTTTTTTCTATTTTTAGTAGAGACGGGGGTTTCACCATATCGGCCAGACTGGTCTCGAACTCATGACCTTGTGATCCACCCGCCTCAGCCTCGCCGAAAGTGCTGAAATTACAGGCATTAGCCACCATGACTGGCCCTAGAGGAGAACTTTTTCAACTCGATAAAGAATATCTACAAAAACCCTACAGTTAATATAATACTTAATGATAAAAGACCGAATGCTTTCCCCTTAGGAGAGGGAAGAAGCCAAAAATGCCCACTCTCATTACTCTTAGTCAACATAGTACAGTACTGGAAGTTCTAGCCAGCACAGTGAGGCAAGAAAAAGGAATATAAGGAATACAGATTAGAAAGAATTCTTTCAAACTGTCCCTATTTGTTGATGACATGGTAGTATATGTAGAAAATCCTAAGGGATTTACAAAAAACAAAAACAAAAAAAAACTACTAGAACTGACAAATGACTTCAGCAAAGACAGTGTTCAAGAAAAACATTAAAAATCAATTGCACTTTTATATACTGGCAAGGAACATGTGAACATGTTCAATTTCACAATTGAAAATAAAATATCATTTACAATCATTCAAAACAAAACATAATATTCTCCAAAGAAGATGTATAGATGGCCAATAAGCACATGAAAAGATGTTCAATATCATTAATCATTTGAGAAATGCAAATGAAAACTACAATGATATAACACCTCACACCTATTAGGGTGGCTTCTATTTTAAAAAACAGAAACTAGGGCCAGGCACAGTAGCTCACACCTGCAATCCCAGCACTTTCAGAGGCCGAGGCAGGTGGATCACCTGAGGTCAGAAGCTCGAGACCAGCCTGTCCAACATAGTGAAACCCCATCTTACTAAAAATACAAAAATTAGCCAGGCATGGTGGCGTGCGCCTGTGGTCCCAGCTACACAGGAGGCAGAGGTAGGAGAATCACTTGAACCTGGGAGATGGAGGTTGCAGTGAGCCAAGATCACACCACTGTACTCCAGCTTGGGCAACAGTGGGAAACTCTGTCTCAAAAACGAACAAACAAACAAAAAACAAAACAAAACAACAAAAACAGAAAGAATCAGGTGTTGGCGAGGATGTGGAGAAATTGGAACCCTTATGCACTGTTGGTGGGAATATAAAATGATACAGTCACTGTGGAAAACAGCATGGCAGTTCCTTTAAAAATTACAAATAGAATTGTCATATGATTGAGCAATTTCATTTCTGGGTATATACCCGAAAGAACTGAAACCTGAAGAGATATTTATATACCCATGTTTATAGCAGCATTATTCACAAATGCTAAAATGTAGAAGCAATCCAAGTGTCCCTCAACAGATAGATGGGTGAGCAAAATGTGGTCTATTCATTACAATGAAATAGTATTCAGCCTTAAAAAGGAAGGAAATCCTGACACATGCTACAACATGGATGAACCTTGAAGACATTAGGCTAAGTGAAATAAACCAGCCATAAAAAGATACATAGTATATGATTCCACTTATAGGAGATACTTAGAATAGTCAAAATTGTAGAAAAAGAATGGTAGCTGCCAGGGGCTGGGAGAATTGGGAAGTGGGGAGTTATGTTTCACACAATGAAAAGAATTGTGGAGATGGAAGTTAATGATGATTGCACAATGTTATGAATGTATTTAATGCCACCGGACTATACACTTAAAAATGGTTAAGGCCGGGCACAGTGGCTCACACCTGTAATCCCAACAATTTGGGAGGCTGAGGCAAGTGGATCACTTGAGTCTAGGAGTTTGAGACCAGCCTGGGCAACATGGCAAAAACCTGTCTCTACAAAAAATACAAAAATTAGCCGGGCATGGTGGTGTGTGCCTGTGGTCCCAGCTACTAGGTTGGCTGAGGTGGGGAGATAGCTTGAACCCAGGAGGTGGAGGTTGCAGTGAGCTGTGATCGTGCCACTGCACTCCAGCCTGGGCGCCAGAGCAAGATCTTGTCTTAAAAAAAAAGGTTAAAATGATAAATTTTATGTATTTTAACACAATAAAAATGAAAAAAACATATATAGGATTTGAATGGTGAAAACTACAAAAATGTTGATGAAAGAAAAAGATTTCAGTATCTGGAGAAATACACTGTGTTCACAGATTGGATGATTCAACATAGTAAGTACATCAATTGATATACAGATTTAATGCAAATACTATCAAAATCCCAGCAAGAATTTTTGAAGATATACATAAGACTATTCTGAAATTTATATGGAAAGGTAAGGAACTAGACTAGTGAAAACAATATATATATTTTTTTGAGATGGAGTTTCGCTCTTCTTGCCCAGGCTGGAGTGCAATGGCACAATCTCGGCTCACTACAACCTCCACCTACTGGGTTCAAGCAATTCTCCTGCCTCAGCCTCCCAAGTAACTGGGATTACAGGCATGTGCCGCTACGTCTGGCTAACTTTTTGTATTTAGTAGAAACAGGGTTTCACCACGTTGGTCAGGCTGGTCTCGAACTCCTGATCTCAGGTAATCCACCTGCCTCAGCCTCCCAAAGTGCTGGGATTACAGGTGTGAGCCACTGCTCCCAGCCTCAATAAAAACAAAATTTAAAGAAGAATAAAGTAGGAGGAATTACTATACCAAATTTCAAGACTTATCGTATAGCTACAGCAATTAGGACTTTGTGTTATTGGTGGAGGGAAAGAGGCATAGATCAATAGAATAGGACACAGAACCCATAAATAGACCCACACAAGTATGGTGAAATGGTCTTTGACAAAAGTGCAAAACAGCTAAATGGAGAAAATGAAGATTTCTCAACAAATGATGTTGGAGCAATTGGGTATCCATAGGCAAAAAATGAACCTTGACCTAAATCTTACTCTTCATGAACAATTAACTCAAATGAATCACCAACTTAAATGTAATACATGAAATGAGAAAACCTTTAGAGAATAATACAGGTGAAAATTGTCAGGGTTCAGGAATAGGCAAAGAGATCTTAGACTTAACACCAAAAGCACAAGTCATAAGTGAAACATTGATAAGTTGGACCTCATCAAAATTTTAAAATTTTCCTGCAGTAAAGATTCTGCTAAGAAGATGAAAAGCCAAGCTACAAATTGGGAGAAAATACTTGTAAATCAATTATCCAACAAAGGACTGGTACATGGAATCTATAAAGAACTCTCAAAACTCAATAATTTAAAAAAAAAAAACTGACTGGGCACAGTGACTCACACCTGTAATCCTAGCACTTTGGGAGGCTGAGGTGGGAAAATCGCTTAAAGCCAGGACTTCAAGACCAGTCTGGGCAACATAGTGAGACCCTATCTCTACAAAAAATTTTAAAAATAATCACGTATGCTGGTGCGCACTGTAGCCCCAGATACTCCGGAGGCAACAACAGGAAGATTGCTTGAGCCCAGAAGGTCGAAGCTACTGCACTCCAGCCTGGATAACAGAATGAGACCCTGTTTCTAAAAAAAAAAGAAAGAGAGAAAGAAAAAGAAAGAAAGAGAGAGAGAGGGAGAGAAAGAAAGAAAGAAAGAAAGAGAGAGAGAGAGAGAGAGGGAGGGAGGGAGGGAGGGAGGGAGGAAGGAAGGAAGGAAGGAAGGAAGGAAGGAAGGAAGGAAGGAAGAAAGAAAGAAAGAGAAAGAAAGAAAGAAAAAGTTATATACTGTATGATTTCATTTGTATAACTTTCTTGACAAAAATCATAGAAGTGGATAACAGATTAGTGGTTGCCAGGGGTCAAGGTAGGATGGGAGAGGAGTGTAGCCATAAAGGGCAACATGAGGGAATCCTTGTGATGATGGAAAGGTTCTGTACCTGTATTGACAATATAATAGTGTCAATATCCTGCTTGCGTTATTGTACTGAAGTTTTTCAATATACTACCATTGGGGAAACTGGGTAAAGGATACATGGAAGTGTCTCTATACTTTTTCTTACACCTGCATGTGAATCTATAATTATCTCAAAATGCTTAATTAATTAATTTTTATTTTATTTTATTTTATTTTGAGATGGAGTTTTGCTCTTGTTGCCCAGGCTGGAGTGCAGTGGTGCCATCTCAGCTCACTGCAACCTCCACCTCCTGGGTTCAAGCGATTCTCGTGCCTCAGCCTTCTGAGTAGCTGGGATTACAGGTGCCTGCCACCACTCCCAGCTAATTTTTTCTTTTGTATTTTCAGTACAGACGGGATTTCACCATGTTGGCCAGGCTGGTCTCAAACTCCTGACCTCAGGTGATCTGCCTGCCTCAGCCTCCCAAAGTGCTGGCATTACAGGCGTGATAAAATGCTTAATTTAAAAAGAAATGGGCCTGGCATGGTGGCTCACACATATAATCCCAGGAGGATCATTTGAGTCTAGGAGGTTGAGGCTGTAGTGAGCCATGATTGTGCCACTACACTGCAGCCCGGGCAATGGAGCAAGACTCTGTCTCAAAAAATAAAATAATAAAATAGTAGAGGGGACTCTCTTCCTCAGGGCTGACTACAGAGGTGTCAGTCATCTCCTCCTTGGCATCACAGCTGCCCTCAGATCCCTTATGAAACTCAAGATTGTCAAAAAGAGGACCAAGAAGTTCATTCTGCACCCGTCACACCAATATGTCAAAATCAAGCCTAACTGGCAGAAACCCAGAGGTATTAACAACAGAGTTTGTAGAAAGCTCAAGGGCCAGATCTGGATGCCCAATGTCGGTTGTGGGAGCAACAGAAAAACAAAGCACATGCTGCCCAGTGGTTTCCGGAAATTCCCGGTCCACAAAATCAAGTTGCTGGAAGTGCTGCTGATGGGCAACAAATCTTACTGTGCTGAGATTGCTCACACTGTTTTCTCCAAGAACCGCGGAGCCATCATGGAAAGAGCCACTCAGCTGGCCATCAGAGTCACCAACCTCAATGCCATACTGTGCAGCAAAGAAAATGAATAGGCAGCTCATGTGCACGTTTGGTGTTTAAAGAAACTATAAAAACTGCCAAAATGTGTATGTGTGTGTATATATA